ATCTAATTGGGCAAAAGTGTATTCTTTTTAGAGAGGAGAAAGGACAGGTTAAAAATTAAGATCAGGGGGGCCAGCCCGGTGGTACAACTGTTGAGTTCACATATTCCGCTTCGGCGGCCTGGGGTTCACCAGTTCAGATCCCAGGTGCAGACCTATGCGAGGCTTATCAAGCCATGCTGTCTGTGGCAGGTGTCCCACAGATAAAGTAGAGGAAGATAGGCATGGATGTTAGCTCAGGGCTAATCTTCCTCAAAAGAATTAATTAATTGATTAAAAAAATTAAGATTATGGGTGAAATTTTGAATCAAGAAAATATTTAAGGAGCTGGCCCAGTGGCATAGTGGTTAAGTTCTTGTGCTCTGTTTTGGTGGCCTGGGGTTTACAGGTTCAGATCCTAGGCGCAGACCTAGCACTGCTCATCAAGCCCATGCTTTGGCAGCATCCCACATAAAATAGAGGAAGATTGGCACAGATGTTAGCTCAGTGACAATCTTCCTCACAAAAAAAAGAGAAAATATTCAATTACACATGCTCCTGGGTGATGTACACACACCGTACACAAATTTGACCTCAGGCAAACTGACATACACATGAGGCACATAATCACATTTGGAAATGTGGAAAACTTTGCACAAAAATACAAAGTAAAATACCACAAAGCAGGCCGGTGAATGCCAAGAATTAAAAGTGTCCTGTGGCCACCAGAAGCTGCAGGCTTCAGTTACTGAGCAGTTCTCACTCCCTCATTGTTATTCCAGAGTTATCTATGTTACTCCCTCTCACTCCCCTTTATTGATCTCTGATGATGACTAGTAAGGGATCAAGCAATAGCCAGAACGTAGAATCTGTAAGCGCAAGAACACAGAGTCAGAGCAAAAATCCAAGGCATCAAAGAAATCCGGCCGAATCCTGTCCTTCACTGCTCTGGGGCTTGGTTGACCACTTCCACAACGAAAATATTCAGAATGAAGGCACTGGCACAGACAGAACTATTGAAAGGTCCTGCCACATTCAAATCCACAAAGATAAAACGAAGGTGGGCTCAGGGGCCAGTCTGAAATGGAAAATCAGTAACAAACATAAAAAAAGAATAAAGCTAAAAAAAGTCTGCTGCTCAGATTAATGATTCAGTAAAGTCTAGAAAATCAGTTTGAAGACAGAAAGTGTGATTACAGAAGGGCATCCCAGTAGTTCTAAAACTCACGAAAATGTTCAGAAGAGGAAAGCAAGTGGGGAAGCTGCCGGTTCGATAATAAAAGCAGCAGTAACGTATCTCAAAGAATTGTGAAAATATTATAGAAAAATGTGGTTCCACTACAAGCATAACGAATTTTTAATTTTTTTGAAACTGGATTTTTAAAGAAAAAATTAAAAAGTCAGGGCATTTATTGCAAAAGAAGAAAGTGTCAGAGTTTAAGGCTGCAAAAGGTAAAATAAGCCTTTTGCTTGATGATAACATGGCAGAAGGTGATACACTGGTATCCTGACTTGCTTATCACTGAGAAAACCTGTATGTCTTTAATATACTCTCAGCTCACACAAAATCCTTATTGTACAAAGCCATGCGAAAGAGTCGCGTAAGTCAGGGGATCATTTCTATTAGAATTATTCCGACAAGTTTCAGTTTCACTAGAATCTCCTAGAGTCAATATATGTGTATTTAGAGGAATGGATCAACGAATTCAACCTCACTGGGTGCGTTTCAGATTCTGATATTGCCTACATTGTAGTTATAATTCCTGCTAACATTTTATGGGCCAAAAACCACATTCAAGTCGGTTAGAACAACGCTCAATATTCAGTGGTCCTTGACGAGCATCACTGAAGCTACCCGAACCTGGGCTAGTTAACAAGTCATTTCCAGGACTTGGCTACTGATGACAAAGTGGACAAGTGTTATTCAGTGATGTGTCAGAGCCAGCTGATCGCCCCTCTCTCTTCCCAACTCTGAGTTTGGAGACATCACATTGATAGGTTAAAATTAGCCCTGGGTGGGAGTATTTACACCACTGAATTCAGCAAATGCTACAAATCAGGGCTTTTTTTTCTTCTTTTTTCAGAGGGAGTCAGTTGTTAAACATTTATCACCACACCACTGGTTGTATTCCTAATTTCTCTGGTTAAATGGCAGCCACAAAGTTAAAACACTGAATTTCAATTCTTGTTCTTATGATTGATGCATTTTGTGGCTCTGTCCAATTAACTTCACCTTGTCCATTAGCCCTAACTCAACAAAGAGAGACAGCCTGCTTGTTAATGTCAAATCACGTGCGTGAAGAGGGGCACTGTCCTTGGCAGGTCAAGCTCGTAGGCAGTAAGACCATTCCGAAGGTTTAGTACACCCACATGCTACCTTCCCGAGCATGGTCTCCCCATGAATATGCCGTCAGCACCTCACGCTGAGCACAACTGATCTGCCCACCAACTCTCAGTGAAAAGCATCACACTAACTGGCCGGAAACTTGGAAATCATCCTCAACATCTGCTACCTCTTAGCAGATTGTCTCTCTGAAAATCTCCGCACTCGAATCTCCCTCTCCATCCCTTCTTAACACGGTCCCCTTGTCCCTCCCCTGTCCCCCAATTTTTCCCTCTCATTCATCTCCCACATGGTTTCTGGGCTGAATATTTTTTAAAAGCAAGAGGGAGCACCCCACTCTCTTTATAATAGTTTTCAATTACTCCCCATCGACTTTGGTATAAAGTTCAAATTCCTTGGCACAGTGGTAAAGGCCCTTAGGCATCAGACTCTGTGCCACCTCCACCTCCACATACACGCCAAACCAGTAACTCCCTGGACACCAACCTCTCCCTGCTTATTGTTTGCTGACACACTAGTTGCTCTCCCCTATGCCTCTACTTCACCCTGGAGTAGTCGAGAGAGGCATTATCCCCAACCCCTCCGCCATCTCTCTCTTAAGCATCCCTCCAGCCTAGCACTCAACACGCCTAGGTTTGAAATGGCTTTAACAATCTGTCTCCTCCTCCAGGCTTGAGCCCCTGAAGGTCTTTAACTTTTGTATTTCTAGAACCTAGTTCAGAGGCTGCACAGAGAGGCCACTCCGATCTGCAGCGGAGGGGTAGTACAGTGTGCCTGAGAGGGTTGTTGGAAGGACTGAATGAGACGGTGTTTGCAGTGCACCTGCTGCATAATGCATGGCACAAAAATATGGGTTCAGCTCCTCTGGAAGAGCCCCACCTAAAGAGCTGTGCCTCCGTTGTAATATTATACATTTATTTAGCCGTCTGTAATTTACGAAGTTCATCCATCATCCAAATGCAGCGCAGGAGGGAGACAGGTCAAAATGCGTTTTCAATTATCTTTGAATTCAAAGGGTTTTGTTTCCCAGCCCCTTCCCCTGGCCCAGCATTTATCTTTAAGAAGGTAACCAGACACGATGGAATCAGTTCAGCTAATGTTTAAAATAAAGACCTTAAAAATTCTCTATGCACAAGAGCTTTCAAATTTCTTTTTGAAAGCAGAGGTTCTCCTTCTCCTCCAGATGCAATCTTACTAGGTGTCTTACACATGGCATTAAAAGCAGGGCTGGTCTCAGAGAAGCAGGATCCAGAACTGCCACCAGGCCTCCCCTCCCCGGGTGGTCCCTCTGCAGAAGCTGGAGGCTCTGAGGAATACACCTTTCAAAACACTTGCTTATTCTATAAACGTGGAAATGAAGGCAAAGAGAGGTCCAGAACCTTGCCCAAAGGTCTGAAATCCAGTAAAGCCAAGCCTAGGACCCAAGACTCTTTCCACCACATCATACTGACTCCTCAGAGTCAAGATAATAGTCTGTGGTCTCAGGACCAAAGGTTGACATTTCTTACACATGACTATTAATCACCCATATGTGCTGCAATTGTAAAAGTCTAAGACAGGCAGAGTCTTAGATTTGGAAGAATCTAAGAATTTGGAAGAGTAAATAAATTTAATCGGCTTCCTCTTGACAAAGGTCAAATGGAAGAATATTAATATAATCAGCCTTCCCTTAAGGGGATAAAAGCAGCATTCTCTGGCTGCCAACAGAGTTACAGCCCACCCATAAAGGGAACATACCAGTTTCTGGAACAAAGATAAGGGAAGTCAAAGACCCACCTTCCAGATTATTCTAAAGGTAAGGGTTAAGTAACCCTATTACAGCCAGGTTCATAAAGGATCTCGTGGTACAGATTGCTCCTTGCCCACCCATAGCCACTTTCCCCTTCTTTCTTAACTACTGATAAGAACCCTGATTTTACTCAGGGTATCCCCAGCTAAAACACTAAATTCCAGCTTCCCCCACAGATAGTTATAACCCTACAACTAAAATCTGGCCAATGAGATTTAAGTAGCCATTTGGTAAGACTTTTGGGAAAGTCCTTTAAGGGGGAAACGGCCTTGTGCCATTTTCTCCTTTCTGTTCTCCTTTCCACAACCTGGAACTTGGATGTGATGGCTGAAGTTCCAGCAGCTATCTTGTCATCTTGTCATATCTTTCATTTTGGTGAAAGCCTTGAACTAAAGATGACAGAGCAGAAAGAGAGAAAAAAGCCTCAGTCCCTGGGGACTGCATGAAGAAGCCATCAAAACAGCCCTGAACTGCCCTAAACCTCTGGCTTTTTTATGTGAGAGAATAAACCTTTATAAGATACATTTACAGTAGTTAGGTCCCTTTTATTAGCAGCCAAACACAACCCCTAACCAATACAGACCTCGGCCTCGTAGGCAGAAGCTACAGAAGCCTTGCAGAGATCCTTAAGGAATGTGGTGACTCTGGGAAAGGAGGACATTCATCACATGTCCTTCCCCAGCTCCTTGACAGATTTCCAAGAAAAATTCCAGAGCAGGTCAGCGGAGAGCAAGCACTCACAGTTACAGTTAGATGACTAGTAGCTGAACTTGTCAAAGTCCGGCAGAAAGAATAGGTCTGTGAAAGCAGAGGGTGTCAGGGTGACCAGGTTAGGGTCCCTACATCGCTTCTTCCACTGGATCTGACCAGGAGAGGGGCCCTTTTTTGTACCTCTTCGAGGTTGCAGAATTCTTGACGCAGGGCTAGCTTCAGATCGGTGCATTCTCTCCCACATCTGAAGGCTACCAGACACTCCTTGGTCAAATGTGGCACCTAATCAGAGGACACAGGTTCTTAGTGGAGAAGTCTGAGGGAATTCTGTGCTCCTGCTCTGGCTAAAAATGCAGCCAAAGCTTTGTCACTCCAACTTAACCGGCCAACACTCACGTCCAGGTTCCTAGTTCCCTCTAAGGGGCGTGTGGTTCCAGGAATACCCTTATCACAGCACCCATGTAAACAAGGTTCTTTAAAAGGGGTCTCCAGTGCTCCCTACTTGAGCAGCTACTTCCATGCTGCACAGTCTTAGTCCAGGCACTTAACCTCTCTAAGCCTCAGTGGTCTCATCTGAAGAATGGCTACAATAATAGGACCCACCTTAAAAGGCCACTGTGCAGGCTATAAGAGTTAACCTTCATAAAGGAGCCAGAACAGTGCTTAGCACCTCCTAAGTGCTCAAGATATATCAGCTATTAATATCACTGAGTTATTTTTATTTCTTTTCAAAGAGAGCTATCTTAAAATTTCTCCATCATTTTTTCTCCCATTATCAACAGGTGCCCCTTTTCTCGCTTCTTCACATTTCCTGGGCACTTGGCACTCTTGCTCCGCATAAAGGGCAGCCCCCTTCTGTGCATTACCTCTTCACATCCCAATATTTTTTTACCTGAAACTTTAGAACTATTCCCTTTAAAACATCACCAGTTTTCAGTTCTTTCAATATTCCTATCTCAAGTCACACAGTCATAATTATGCCATAACCATACCTCTGGAGACTGCTAGTTGAAATGGAAAAGTGGTATTAGTTAAGCCTTTAACCTTTAATATCAGAGGTGACCACCCTCCTGTCACTCTGTACCAGCCTATCCTCCTAAGGCACACGTAGTATTCAAACAAAACAATTTTACCAATGATTTGGTTTTAAAAATGGATTGAAGTTTGGGAAAGACACACAAAGTAAAATAGAGTGTTAGTGGCTTTTTAAAAAATCGGATATACCTTATAGAACAGCTCCAATAACATCTTTTGGCGAGCTCGCTCATAAGGGTCGAAGGGATACAGCTTCCTGCCGGGATAAGCATCATCCAGGTACTCACAGGCGATGACAGACTCGTAGATCAGTTGATGTTTGCTGTTCTCCAGGACAGGAATCTGGCCAAAAGGATGCTTTGTGTAGTACCATTCAGGCTTGTTTTTCAGGTTAATGTTGATAACTTCATGTCTTAAAAAGCAAAGGAAAAATAAGATAGAACAAACATGGGAGGCATATGCAAGCAGACGCTCATCTGGAAAGCGGAAGGATCAATTTATAAAATTTAAATTTGCAGTAAGTTTTTTAAAGTTTAGGTTTTTTACAAAGAAAAGTACAGAACAACATCATTGTCTTCATCCCTACAGTAAGACATGTGAAATGTTTTCCAGGCCTTGTCTCTTTCGCCCCTGTGATTCTGGGCTCTGGGAGGTTGAATCTCCTGCCAATATTCCCACTGGGAAGGAGCAGAGCAGAAACCGGAGCCCAGAAAGTCTGACTCAGAGCTCACATGCTGCACCACAGCACTGCGGAGTGTCATACATTTTAAAGCTTAAAAATACAAATCTGATATTAACAGGTCACAACAGAATATGATCAATGTTAGCACTCTGAGCATGAAGTCTGGCATCTAACAGCCTGGGGCCTGGGAAGTCTGGCTTGTGTTCTTGGCCAAATTCTTTAATCTCTCTGGGCTCAGTGTCCTCAACTGTAAAATGGGGGTAATAATTGAACCCATCTCTTGGCATCATTGTGAGTCTCAAATAAGTGAATATGTATAAGGTGCTGAGGACAGTGCCTAGTACATAAGCAAGCAATAATTTGTATTTTTCTTCTTAATTATTATTATTAGAGGTTCAAGCCTATAAAGTTACCAGAGGCACTCATATATGTTTAAAAAGATTAAAAGAAAAAAATGAGTATATTCTTTACTCAGTCAAGGGTGCCTGGGGTGCGGGTGGGAGCTACACTGGAGGGAGCAGTCAGAGAAAGCCTCGGTAGCCTTCTCTGTGTCCTTCCTTCATCAGCACTACGGGCGGGAAGCTGCTCACCAGAGCCATCATTCAGCTCACTCTGTTGTCCTAAGTTTCGTTCACACACACGACTCTCGCAGAAGCTCCTCATTTCTGGACGGCACGCTTAAAAAACCTGCCCCTCGTTAAGCACTTACTGACTTTGCCTCAAAAGAAAGGGAAAGAGAGGCCCTCTGAAATCTGAGCAGGGCGCCCTGGATTTTAAACGTCTCCTTGCGCTTGCGGGGGCGCTGGCCTCTGGCTTCTCACCTGATGCCTTTGGCCTGGAGGATGAGGCGCGTCCTGTGCGAGTAGGGGCAGAACCGCATGCTATAGATGCGGATCAGGCCCTCTGGGACCGGCCCTGGGGGGAGGCTTCCTGCGGGGCAAAGGGGGACGGAGAGGTGGATTAGCCCAGTGGGGAGAGGGGCTTACTTGCCACCCGGGACCCCAAGAGGGCTGTGCACGCTCAACCTCCGGAGTCTCAGAGAGGACGCTTTGCACGTGGCTTTTGTGCAGAGGAACCCTTCCAGTCTCTCCCCGCCACGCTGGTCTAGGGGCCAAGGCCGAGCAGCCCCTTCTCCAGAGCCAACATCCCAGCCATGAGGCGCCCCCAGCCCGCGGACCGCTGCTGAGAGGACTCACCTTTCCCCAAGGCTCTGGTCGCATCCTCAGCCATGCTCTCCAGGCGTCTGCGCATCAGCCAGCGCTGGCAGCCAGGGACGGCTGCGCTCAGGCGCGCGCCTCCTGCCCCAAATTCAATTTTTGAGTGACTGGGCTCTGGTGGGGCAGAGAGGAAGTGATCTGGGACGGGAGCTAGGATAACTTAACCTAGAGAGACATCGCCCCAGATTCAGAAGCCAAAGAGTAGTTGGGGGGGGGGGGGGCTGAAAACTACCCCTTGCTTTGAACATGTAGGTACAGCATTCGGTGGGGGCTCTTCTCGAGGTCAAGAATCCGAGAAGAACAGGCATTTAAACTCCAGTGCATATGTCAAGAGAGTTTAATAAAAATTGACTAAGGTAACGCTAATGTTTTCTTTCCTAGTCTAAGCTCTCCTTTCTGCATTTCTAAGATAATTGGTCACATGCTCTATATAATAAGTAAGGTTATTTTCCTTTTTCTTTTTTTTCCCAAGGAAGATTCTTCCTGAGCTAACATCCGCTGCCAGTCTTCCGCTCTGTGTGTGTGTATGTGAGCCGCCACTGCATGGCCACTGACGGAGGAGTGGTGTAAGTCCGCACCAGAATGGAACTGGGCCTAAGAAGCTGAGCCCACCAATCTTAACCACTAGGCCACTGGGGCTGGCGCTTCTTTGTTTTAAAAAAGCCAAACTTCCTCATAACATGGCAATAAGGAAGAAAAATTTGCTAGTGTTGAGATCTTGCGTGACCCTGAGAGCAAGTATCTCCTTAAATTTTGTACCTTAGACACCTCACTCGCCTCACCCTCGTTCTGGCCCTATTTGTGAGATTTTACCCAAGCTATGAAAAACGGTAATGAATAGAAACAGGATACCTAGAGGCAAAGATAAAGTTGTGAGCACTCTCCACGCCCCCAGCATAAATTTCAGAGAAAACCCTCTTTAATGGCTAAAGACACATTCCCAACTGCAGAGCAATACAGGGGCCACTTGGACAGCTCTTCCAGCTACATGAGATAAAGGAGGTAGCTGGCCTTTGCTCTGACCCTGACAGCTGAGATCCTGAAACTGAGCAAGTGGGAAGATAACTCCTTTAATTTTAAAGGACTGAGCTGAAATGGGAATTGCTTGTCAATGGATTTTGTAGGATTGACAGGTGAAAAAGAAGTATCATATGTCTCACTCACAGTGACTAAAAGATTTTCATGGATTACCTTCGAGTCCCACAACCACTCGGTTAGGCAGCTAGTATTATTCCTATTTTACAACATAGAAAACAGCCTCAGAAAAATGAAATTATTTGCCCAAAGTGACCAGCTAGTAGAGTTGAAGAACTTTAAAATTCCAAAGCCTGACTCATTGTCTTGGCCTCTAAAGCTGATAACAGCGTGGAGAAGAAAGACTATGAGTCCAGGAGAAGATACAGCACATAATAGCTGCTCAACAAATGGTAGCAGAATCTGAATATCTTTATTAAAATGACAGAACCTAATTATGTGGCTTATGAATGGGCACATTTGGGCTTTGGAATTCCAACTATCCAGAAATTCTTGTTTAATAGTGTTAACATTTTTTTGCTACTGAATGAGAATCTTTGAAAATCTTTGGAATAGAGACTTGACTACATTTTTTGTTAAGTCATTCAGAGTGATTTCATATGAGATACAGCAAGTTGTTTCATAAGAATTGGGGAATAGCAAAAATGTTTGAATAAATGTTCTCTGAAAAGAAAATGCATATATGCCAGCAAGAAATCTAGTATTGGAAAAGACAAATTGGTTCTTGACTTGCCACGCTGACAACTTTGCATTTTGGAAGATAGAGAAAGAAATAGGATAACTACTATTCTGCAGCTAATTTTGATTAAGAAGGACCAACTGGGTTGTAAAATAGAGGCGACAAACATAACCATGTCACGTGAGAGCCTCTGGTAGACAAGGAGATGCCTCCTGGGCAGACAAATGAATCCTCCACATAAGGAATGCAGATTTCAAAGAGTTGAGGGAAAATATATCCAGATTCTAACACGGAAAGCCATAAGAGGATGTGGAGTTCTCAAATTCAAAATAAATGATTAGTAACATTTGATGCTTTATGTGTATCCACTCATTTAATCCTTAAAATAGTCCTATAAGGATTCTATTATTATTTTGGTTTTCTTTTTTCTTTTCTTCTTCTCCCTAAAGCCCCCCCAGTACACAGTTGTATATTCTAGTTGTGAATGCCTGATGGGCGGTGCCATGTCTGCGCCCAGCATCCGAACCAGAAAATCCTGGGTCACTGAAGTGGAGCATGTGAACTTAACCACTCGGCCAAAGGGCTGGCCCCTATTATTTGGTTTTAAAAGATGAGTAAACTGAGGCTAGCAAGGTTAAGTCACTTGTCAAAAGCCTCACAACTAATAAGAGGTGGAGGGAAGATTATGAAGCCTGGAAGTTTGACTCTGAAGCAGGACTCCAGCCAGGATCTTAGTCTACACCAGCGACAGGCACATTTTTTCTATAAAAGTCAAGATAGTAAATATTTTAGGCTTTTTGAGCCAGTTGTTTCAACTGCTCAACTCTACCCTTTCTTACAATCAATGTTTCTTACATTTCTTAGAATCAATGAACCTACATTGACACATCATCATCACTCAAAGTCCATAGTTTACATTAGGGCTCACTCTTGGTGAATTTCATATAATTATCATGTGTCACAAATTATGGTTTTTCTTTTTTTTTTTATTTTTCCTTCTTCTCCTCAAAGCCCCCCGGTACATAGTTGTGTATTTTTAGTTGTGGGTCCTTCTAGTTGTGGCATGTGGGACGCTGCCTCAGCATGGCCTGATGAGCGGTGCCATGTCTGCACCCAGGATCCAAACCAGTGAAACCCTGGGCCACTGAAGTGGAGCATAACAACTTAACCACTCAGCCACGGAGCCAGCCCCAAATTATTGTTTTTCTTTTGATTTTTTTTCAACCATTTATAAAGGTAAAACCTCTTCTTAGTTCTTGGACTGTACAAAATCTGGCAGCAGGCTGGGTTTGGACTGCTGGCCTTAGTTTGCCCATCCCTGGTCTATAATAGCAATGGCCAACTGGGAATTGCATCTCTAAAGAAAAAGGTTCCTGGATCCACCTTTCTGCTTTGTCAGAAGCGAACATATTTCTAAGTTTTTTCTCCTCGTTCCTACTTTTTTTTTTTTTTGGTGACGAAGTTTCACTCTGAGCTAACAGCTGATGACAATCTTCCTCTTTATTTTTTTTGGCTTGAGGAAGATTAGCCCTGAGCTAACATCTGTGCCAATCTTCCCTCCCCACCCCCCGCCAAACCCGCCTTTTTGTTTACTGACAGGAGGTATGGCTCTCTCTCTCTCTCTTTTTTTTTAAGGTATAGTTTTTGGTGAGGAAGATTGGCCTTGAGCTAACATCTGTTGCCAATCTTCCTCTTTTTTTTTCTCCCCAAAGCCCCAGCACATAGTTGTATATCCTAGTTGCAAGTCATTCTAGCTCTTCCATATGGGATGCTACCACAGCATGGCTTAATGAATGGTGCCTAGGTCTGTGCCCAGGATGCGAACCAGCAAACCCTGGGCCACCAAAGTACAGCATTCGAACTTAACCACTCAGCTATGGGGCCAGACCCGTCCCCCATTTTTTTGTATGTGGGTCACCACCACAGCATGGCTTGACAAGTGGTGCAGGTCCACACCCAGGATCCAAATCCATGAACCTGGGCCACCAAAGTGGAGCACAAACTTAACCATTATGCCACCGGCTGGCCCCTCATTCCCACCTTTTAAAGGAAACCAGCTCTGAGAGTTGGAAAATATTGTTTATTGAAAGTATACCTGTATGTGGGAAGTCACGTTCTAAATACAAGTCTATTTGGTGTAGTTAGGGGAAAAGAGACAGAGGGATGGAAACGGTTCTTTCGCTGAAGGGAAGCCATAAGATGTCAAGGTTCTCACTTGGCACTATATTCAAACCCTGGCTTTGGCACATAGCCAAGCTATCCAACCTCTTTGACCTTCATCTTCCTAACCTGTAAAATGAGAACACTAATAGTAACTACTTGCTGGGTTTTGAGTGTCAAGTGAAATCGTGCTGGCTATCCTTAGTATAGTAAGAGCTCGATGTACTTCAAAATTAATGACTAACACTGGTAAATTAGAACACATTTGTAATAGCATAGTGCATTCTAATATTATATCCATAAAGATGAAAGGCACTGCAATTCAGCTTTGCCAAGCACATTAGAATTAAAATTCAACTCAGAATATGTATTTCACCAGTTACCAGTGTAAGGCTAATTGAATGGGTTGAATGCTGCAGGCTATGGGTCAGTAATGTGGTTTTTCATCTTACCACCGAACACTGTGGTTTCCCTGGAAAGATTTTGATTACGACCTTTAAGCTTAATCCTACTTCCTTTTTAAGATCCAATAGGTAACTCTTTGAAATCCTCTCTGCAAATTTTCCTTCTATGTTATTATATCATGTTTACACCTCTGTTATACTGACTCACTCAAGCAAGAAACAATGGTATATTAAGGGCATATTAAACCTACTCCAAATTGGTTCCCAGCTACGTGAAATATAATCAGATCTGTTTTGAAAATGTGGAGTCATGGGTAATAATGACTTAAGCCTTCTAGGAAAAGAATGCCACCACAGAAGTAATTTCTTCACTCGATTTACATGAGACTCTGTTTTGACAAGAGGAGAAGAAATGGAGTTTGCATTTTGCAGTTTTTCAAGAATTTTTTTCATACAATCTCTGAGTGGCAGAAACTGGAGGACATTCCTCCTAATATTTCAGAAGCCTAATTTGCATGAAAGATTATCTTACCGGTTGTTCCGATATTGTTCATCAAGTTCAAAGAGTGAGATAAGTGAGGGTAAGGCTCTATTTCCGGATGGGCCTACATTCAGCACTTGTTTCCAGGAGTTAGGATCATAGGGAATTCTGTGTTCTAATGTCTTGGGGACATGTTTTTTTCAGTTTTATTGAGATATAATTGACATACAGCTCTGTATTAGTTTAAGGTGCACCACATAATGACTTGACATACATATATTGTGAAATGAATTACCACAATAAATTTAGTTAACATCTATCTCCCCACATAGTTACAAAAAATTTTTTTTTTTCCCTGTGATGAGAACTTTTAGGATCTACTCTCTTAGCAACTTCTGAATATACCATACAGCAGTGTTAACTCTGGTCAACTTGCTATATATTAATCTCCAGTACTTAGTTATCTTATAACTGTAAGTTTGTACCTTTTGATCACCTTTATCCAATCCCCTCCCACACAGACACACAACCACAAATCTGGGACACACTACATAAGATTACTAAAGTTGTCAGAGGAGGAACTCATCTTCCCACTAGGGAAGCAGAGTCACAGGAGACTTTCTCTTTAAGCACTTGATTCTGCTTTCCTATCTTCATTTTTCCTTAAAGCTTGAGGGATCAAAGAAAAAAATTTTAAACATTCTGATATAACAGCATTCCAATGAACAAAGGCAGATTTTCAAGATCCTAAAGTCAAATATTTGTAAGATCAAACAAAACACCTTGAGCTTGGAAAAGGAACATCAACACTCCTGTTAAATTCCAAGCATTACAGTGGTGTGTCACAAAGCCTCTCCTGGCTCAGCCTCTAAATGCTAAGAGCTGATAAATAAAAAAAGAGACTGGGGCAGAAGCCTATGTAAACCTTTATCTCAAGAATGGTCTGAATGACTCTAAGAGTTCAGGCTGGATTTGAATCTCCTCTTAGGCATTAACTAGCTGGGTGACTTTGGGCAAATCACAACTTTCTGCGCCCTGGTATTGTCGTCCGTAAATCTGAGCTAATAGTACCAACACATCGTGTGGTTTGGGGAGGATTAATTCAGATACTGGATGAGATGCATTTAATACTTTGCGTTCACCTATTACCTAGTAAGCATTCAAGACTAGCTATTATTTTTATTATTATTTGAATGTAGCAGGGAAGACCCACAGACCTCACAAAGACAGGACATTCCCGAGGACCAAACTCCCCTGGCTGTCAGCGCCTTACAACTAGCCAACCTAGCGGTGCCCAATGCAGCAGCTGAGAACTAGTGCTCTGCGGTCTTTACCTGTCTCCAGCCAAATGACAAACACAATAACAACTTAACGAGGTTTTTTCCCTTTACGTCAAAGATATCCGCTTTAAAGAGCTGTTCCTTATTCTCAGATTATAACCCTCGTACGTTTTTTGATGTTAAAATCTTTGATGAAATGAAGTAGTTGAGCTTTCTTTTAAAGGTGTTAGGCAAAATAAAATGTTGGCAATCCTGGGCCCCGAAAACCCCAAACTCAGAATTGACCTCAAACCACTCTTCCCTTCAAAGCAGCACAGGTCTGACCCACCCAGCCGGTGGTGGCAAAGGGAGAGACGCCCCTTGACACTTCTGTCGCTGGGGCGCAAGGAAGCGGAAGTGGAGAGGCGGTGGCCGCAGAGGGAGGCGGGGCCCAAGCAGAACCCGCCCCTTAGAATCCTACCCGCCAACTGGCCGCGGCGCCGAGAGCCTCAGCCAATCCTCGAAGCCTTTGGAAGCGCTCGGGCCAAGTAATGCCGAGTGAGCCAATGGGCGGCTTCGTTACAAGCTCCTGGCTACAGTAGTCGCCAGTCCCCACCCGTGTCTGTGGCTGGCCAAAGTGGAAGCCAACTGGTGGCTGGCTGTGCACTTCGGTGCCCAGCTCTTGTCCGACTAGAGTCAGCCTGCCGCCGGCCCGGGCCTGGAGTGTGGGGCAGGCTGACGGCGGCGGAGATGTGTCCGCCCGGAGCCTGGGCGTTGGTGCGGCCAACAGTGGGCGGCAGGAGGCCGTTTGTGAAGTCAGCTCGTTCTCAGCTGCCTCTCAGGGTGCGGCCCTCGCATCGCCTGCATCATCATGCGGCGGGGGGCTCATTTCAAATATGTATTTCCCGGCCCACCCCGGACCTACTGATCTGAAATCCGGCAGTGAGCCTTAGGTGATTGTTATGCGCTCTTATGTGTAAGAGTAAGTACAGGAAACCAGCCTGTCTTGGGCGGGTCGACAGCCCCCTATTCTATAGTAAGAACACTGTGCTGGGTGTGTTCTGCAGGTCCTTTCTGCCAGCATCTTAAGGGTTTACTCAGCCTTGGGACCTTAGTTGAATCATCTGTAGAATGAAATGATGCTCTCCGACCTGCATTCTTCTGATGGATGTGATTCGATGATAAAAATTAGATAGTTAGAAGCCCAATGGGCTATAGAAGTGTATGGAAGATGGCATTAATATTTCTGAATTACTCATTCGGCCTTACGTGCTGTATTGACAGTGCCCATACCGTGTGCCCACCGTGGGATTTGGCAGGAAGGATTTGAGGGGGATAGAGATTGGAGACTGGGAGACCAAATGGGAGGCCACCTAGTCACCTGGCTTTGAGGTGATGTGGGTCTGGTCTTCAGTGGTGACAACGGGGTTAAGAAAGGTAGTGAAATTAAGTTGATGATGGGAAGGAAAGAATGAGGAATTGAAAGTTTCTTGATGCAGAACGCAGAAGACAAACTTGAAAGGGCATCTCTTGAAATGATAACAGGGTATCCAAGTGGAAATGTCCTATGGACAGTTAGAAATCTATATTGAACTCTCAACTCTCACTGGAGATGATGATTTAGAGGTTTTCAACATAGACTATGACAAAAGCATCCTAGTCATTTGAGCATCCTAAGACAAGAAATGTGTTCACATTTCTGCAGGAAAGGACTTGAGGAAACCCCATAGTTAGGCCATGATGTCAAATCAGAAGTGATCCAATGAGACGCTAGAGAACTTGCTAAAATAAAATCATGTTATTATTCATTTTAGTGAAGGGAAATATCAGACATATTTCCATTGCTGACTCCTGCCCCAATCAGAGCCCATAGTCACAGGCATCAGGGCTGTTTTGCAAGTAGAGATCTATGAAACCACGAAGGGTCTTCGCGTCAGTGATGAGGGCTGATACTGTGGGATCTTTCCTCATGGCTTCCATCCAGAGCTTAAGTTTTGGAGTGTGGTCTACACAGCTGTAGGAGGTGGAAAGAATGGAGGGGTGAGCTAGGTTAACTAGGAAGGCATTGCAAAGTCTCCTATATATCATCATTATGACTCTGCAGTTTCATTTTGTTTTCTTCTAACCTTTCAAAATATTTCTTTAAATGCACATAATCATAAAACATTAGATTTGGAAGATATTTAGAGGTCTTTGTTTTATGGAAGAGGAATCTTCGAGTGAAGTGACTTGCTCCATTAGCGTAAGAACTTGTTCAAATTGAGAGACTGATAACTTTTTAAAATGAGAACATGAAAGACAACCAATCTATGGCCAAATTGGGATGAAAAGTAACCCTGAATGGCTCTAAGCTTTAAGAAGTGGGAGCAAGCCAAGGTGGCTGCCAAACTTCAAAACATGGAGTTTGGAAAATAGTATGGGAATCTTCCTGGTAAATGGGAGGTAGCATTGGTTATACAATCCTGCATGACATCCTTACAGAAATGTACATCCTTTTGGATTTTTAACTAGAAGGGAAGGAGTAAATTACTTTTAAAACATTTTACTACACGTCACAGAACTCCCTAGCCCCCGGAGATGGGGAGGAATGCTGAGTATAGGCATCCGAACATGCCCTGGGTAGTCCAAGACTCCTCCTGTCTGCTTGTTCCCATTCATACCAGTTGTATGAAATATTTTAATTTTTGTTCAGGAAAAAGATCAATATATACTATTCAAATCATCATTATCCTGAATTATGCACAGAATATTCAAATGTCTTACTCAATTAACTCCACTGCTTCCAGCCGTTCAAACCAGGGCCAGATGAGGTAATCAACCATAGAAATATTTTTGCCACCAAAGAAGGTTGTCTTCTTGTTGGTCAGAACCTGAACATTAAATGACAAGAGTATTTCTTATTTTGTGTATCTAGTAAAACACATCATCAAAGATGATGTAGGCAAGTTAAGTAGAGCGGTGAGAGAAGCAGCTTTTACCCTGACATATCCAAGCAGGCTTTTTGTCTTGATCAGTTTAAGCTTTAGAATCTGTTAGTTTGGGATGAAGCAGAACAATCAACACAATAAACTGGAAAGTGGACAAAAATAAAACAAGCCACAGAGTACAAGATCTTTGTAATACACACACTCAACAAAGGACTGGTATTCAGAATACAGAAAGAACTCCTGGGAATCAATAAGAAAAAAGGCAAACAACCCATTAGAAAATCGAGCAGGACCTGCACTTCACAAAATGGATGTCCAAATGGCCCATAACCATTGGAAAAAGTGCTCAACTACATTAGTCTTCAGGGAAATGCAAACTAGAACCAAAATGTGATAGCACTACACATCCCTCTGAATGGCAAAAATGAACAAGAGAAAGTTAACAGGGATGTAGAACTGCTGCTGGTAGGAGTGTAAATTGGTACAACCATGTTACACCAGCGTCTTGTAAAGCTGAGTGCATGCATACTCCATAATCCAGTAATGTTACTCCTTGGAAATGTGAACATACATTCACCAAAAGATATGTATAACAACGTTCACTGCAGTACTATTTGTATTCGCTCCAAAGTGGAAATGTTTACCATCCACAGGAGTAAAATGGGTAAATAAATTGTGGTAGAGTCATATGTTGGAACACTATACAAAGGAAAGGAATGAACTACACACAACATAGATGAACCTCACAAACCTCATACTCGATGAAAGAATCCAGACCCAAAAGTGCATTATTATATGCACCATTTGTATAAAGTACAAAAAATAGCCCAAACTAGTATTCTGTTTCTTGAAAGGGGTACTGGTTCCATGGCTGTGTTCACTTAGTAAAAATTCGTTAAGTTGTACTCATGCTTTGGGTACTTCTCTGCATATAATACTTCAATTAAAAATTTACTTAAAATATACTGGAAATAACTGGATTAACTATTAAACAGATGCCAAATATGATTTGAAAACCAAGCACAAATAGTATGTTTCTGAAATTTAAGGCAAATTGGTATTATGGTTTTGCCAAAGGCGGGAACTGAGAATATTATCTCATTAATTAACACCACACCAACTTACCCTTTATAAAACTTCCATAGTTCTTCTGAGAGCCCATACAACATTCTGCATTGTGGAGTGTTTCTATCTACCTATTTGTCTTTTGTCTACAACCTAATGAATCTTGCATCTTACTTTCTACCTCATCCTGTCCAGCAGAGTGCCTTGCAATTACTGGGCACTCAGAATTGTACAATGATGTCTGGGTCTGTCCTTCAGCTGCAGTCCCTGTCATTATATTATGCCTCGATAAATTAAGTATGGTAGTTTCAGTCAGCCCTGGAACATGTTAAAGGTACTACTCATTTTAAAACATGAGCTCTTAACCTAAAGTCTGTGAACTTAGGTGGAAAAAAAATTACATGCCCTCCCTGGCACTAACCCCAAATTTAGCAGATATTTCCACTGTGAAAAAGGCAATAAACCACAGTACAGTTAATCTCACATATTTTAATTTAAGCATTTAAAAACATTATTCTGAGAGGGGGTTCACAGGCTCTTCCAGGTTGTCAGTTGGGTCCACAAAAGAAGTCTTAACTTTCAAAGAAACAATATGCCACATGCATTTTCTGACTATAATGTAATTAACTTAAGAAAAAAGCAAAAAGGTAGTTTAGGTAGTTTAGTACAATGATTAATTGATAGGCAAAGAAGATAATCACAATGGAAACTGCAAAAAAATATTTAGAACTGAACAATGAAAATACTGCATATTCACACTTATGGGATGCAACTAAGGTGTTATTTAGACATAAATGGATGTGGTCATTAATGCATTAAAAAATCAAGAATGACTGAAAATAAATGCATTAAATACTCAACTCCTGAGCTAGTTAGTAAAAAAGCAATAGTAAATCTAAAGTAATTATAAGAAAGGAAGTAAAAATAAAAGCTGAAAATAATGAGTTGTAAAACAAACACTAGAGAATTAAGAAAACATTTACTAATTATGAAAAAACTAATAAGATACACATCAGCAATACTGAACAGGAAAACTAGAGAAAAGGCATACAACTATATTGGAAATGAGCACCGGTATACAAGCAGTTATATGTAGAGATTTTTAAAAATTAGGAGACATGAGCATCCTTATGCCAATATAGGTGAAAACTAAGATGAAATGGATAATTTTCAAGGAAACTATAAATCACCAAAATTGACTTAAGAGGAAATATAAACCCCCCAAATAAGCTACCATTAAAGAAACTGAACTACTAATGAAAAATCGACCCCCATAAAAGAGACCAGGCTCAAATGTTTTACAGAAACAGCCAAACCCTACCAAATGGTTTCAGAAATTAGAAATATAAGGAAAGTAACCCAACTCATGAGGTTAGAATATCCTTGATATAAAAACCAAATAAAGACACTATAAGAACAAAATAATAGCCCAATCTCATTTATGAACAAATATGCAAAAATCCTTTAAATATTAACTAATTCTAGAGTATATATGAAAATCCACTAAAACAAGTAGGTTTTATCCCAGTAATGCTAGGATGGTGCAACACCATAAAAATCTGTCAATAACACCATATTCATCAGATTAAACGGAAAAAAATCCTACGAACATTTCAATAGGTTTAATAGATGCAGACAAAAGTCAATAAAACCCAACATTCAATCATGACTTTTTAAAAAATTAGCAAACTAGTAATAGAACTTTCTTCATTAAAAAAAGGTTTCTGAAAAAATCTACAGCAAACTTCATACTTACTGATAAAATGTTAGC